TCCCCCAAAATGAAAAGCAAACAAAAAACTTTTCCCGTAAAGACAGATTATCAAGACCAAATAAGACTAAAGCAAATAGAAACACAGTGTGAGGCTGATAGGATCTGAGTGTTAGAGCTTCTTTAAAACCCATTAACAATAGTTTTAAATCTCATGTAAAGAAGAGGGCAAAAGATAACAGTCCACACTCTTTTTTTCCTGAGAGATATTTTTTTTTTAATTAAATGTAACCAATGAAAACATATGAACACACACTTATAACAGGCACAGTGAAAAAGCCAAGATTGCAAGGCTTGTGGAAAAAAACAAAACAAAAAATCTCTCGCCAGGTACTTTGGGATACATTAAAGGGCTTTCTGAGAGCGCAAAATATGTCTTTTTCTGTAAATAAAAACTAAAAACACCAACACAAAATGACTTTAGTTAGCTAATGAAATCAAAGAAATAGATCAGCTGTATGCCGAGGATTAAATACCAAAACAAAAAACTAAATTATATAATAAACAGTTGGACTGCATTTGACCTCCTTTTGACATAGTTGAACATCAGCTTTTGAAAAGTAAAAGTTTATTTTATATGCATAGTGACAGACCCGGTAGGACGCTATCCAACCAGTTGAAGTGTATCCAGGCCAAACAACATATTACAAAAGTCAGAATGAACAGATAGCTGCAGTTAAACATTCTTTCTGCACTGACCAAAAGTATAACAAGAAGAGTAAATAGAAAAATGGCATGAGACACTCACAAGGCAGCCCCCTGAGCAGAGGTGGACAGGTACAAAGGTACAAAAATTTGTTGCAGTACTTAAGTCGAATTTTCAGGTATCTGTACTTTACTTGAGTAGTTGTCTTTTTTTGACTGCTTTTTAATTTCACTCCCTACATTTTAAACCAGTGTCTTTAATTTCTACTTACATTTTTAAAATAGACTCCTTACTTTTGGTTTAACACATTTGAGGGGAGTTATTATTTCATGTCATGGCCTTCAAATACCAAACCGATTTGAGCCTAAACAGTAACACATGAAAGGCAGTCAGCGGATGT